TAGGTTACTAGTAAGGGACTTAGAATTTATTTCACAAAATTAAAAACAAACGATTTCAACGGTAGCAAAACTAGTGACAGGAGGCAAGAATTTTTACAGACAAAATAAAAGCGAATTCAAAATGTCCTTCTTTTCAATTGACTTAAAAAAAACAGAAGGTTTTTTTTATACAACTTAGAATGGCAAACAAGCTGACGGCCCACCTGATGGAAAGTGGTAACCGTCGCCTGTAGACATGAGCAGTACCATAAATATAACAGAATACACTGTTACGCCCATGATACCCCCCATGCGTTGCCATTCCTGAGGACTGGGATGTTATTCCTCTGTACCCTGTAAATTCACGCCATATCCCACCCGTCAAACCGAAACACAACTGCATCACGGTAGAAACACGAATGGGACAGTGGTACCCAAGCAATCGACTTTTGTACAAAGTTTGTACAAAGGTTGATGACTCGGTTGTATCTTTTACGTTTGTTACTTAATAACTGCATCAGTTGTAAACCGATTTAGATTTTTTTATTTAAAAGGACATAGTTACAGGTTTTTTTAAATGGACGAGAATGGAATGGTAACCCCGTCCTCGCTATCGGTATACACAGGTGGGGCACCAGCGGAAGATGATAGGTGACGATGAAAACAATTCAGTTAGCTCACCGTGACGAATTGCACTAGAAATTAACTACGATGGTTTCCATAGGGAACCAGGAGGTTGACCTGATAACCCGTATTGCTAGCAATGGGTCAGTAAGACACTATTACTAACAATCCCTTTCCCCCATACTTACAGTTTGGTCCCATTGGAATTTTAGCAAAATTGTAGTAGTTTAAATTTGAAATTAACAGAACTGGTTTTACTTGAATTGAAATAGTTATTTTCCGGAACACAATTTGGATTTTAAAGTCTGTTTAAAGGCAGAGGCATTTTAAATAAAATTCTATGTACAGTAACTAAGTACAAGAGTCTATTCTCACGATGGTAATAGACCAATATGTAATCTTTAATCACTGCATTCTATCGGTGCAGAATTTTAATAACTCGTATTGGTGACCATACACCTAGAGACGGCTTCATTTGAATTTTATGATCTCATTCCCTATGGATTTCTATTGGTTATATATGCTATTCCGAATGGCAAACAGTTTTTTTTTTATACTACTTAGAATGGCAAACAAGCTGACGGCCCACCTGAGCAGTACCATGCACATAACAGAGTATACTGTTTCGCCCATGATACCCCCCATGCGTTGCCATTACTGAGGACTCAGGTGTTATTCCTCTGTACCCTGTAAATTCACGCCATATCCCACCCTTCAAACTGAAACACAGCCATGCAAACATAACTGCTTCACGGTTGAAACACGAATGGGACAGAGGTACCCAAGCAATCGACTTTTGTACAGTCTCCCTCTGGTGCAGTTTTTTTATAACCCCCGAACTAAGAGAGGTGTTGTAATTTTTTATTTAATGGGTTGGTCATGAAATTGTACTTAATCCCGCCTGCGCTATCAGTATATACTGGAAGGGATTGTTAGTAATGGGGAGGTTAGTCCCCATTGCTATCAATATACCCTATCAGGTCGACCTCCACGCGGTTCCCCCTGGAAATTATCGTGACTAATTTATCGTTGAATTCGTCACGATGGGCTAACTGACATGCCTTTTCATCCTCACCTATCACCTGTCACTGGTACCCCGCCAGTGTATACCGATAGCGCAAGCGGGGTTAACATGCCATTTTCACCCTTCACCCTTTCAAACAAAAAGTATATACTGGTGGAGTATTGTAAAATCTTTATTGTACATAATTCACATTGAACACTGATAAATGATACAATGGCGGATTTATCCCATAAAGGTAATGATATGGTAGTCTCTTCTGCGCTAACAGTATACGGGGCACCAGTGAGGGAGGATAGGTGAGTGTGAAAGGGCAGGTCTATTTGCCTACCGTGATAAATACACATGGAATTCAGCGCGATGGTTTCCACGGGGAATCACGTGGAGTTGACCTGATAAGGTATATTGCTAGCAATGGATCTAGTAGTCCGCATTACTAATAATCCCTACCCCCTTTTTAATTTGGTAAATATTTATTAAATCATCATCGTCTCAGCCACTATCTGTCCACTGCTGTACATAGGCCTCCACTTTAGACTCCCATTATTTTTACTTATTTTATAATTTATATTTATAGGGGGGAAAGGGATTGTTAGTAATGGAGACTGAGAATCCCATTACTAGCAATATACCCAACCAGGTCGACCTGCTCGCGGTTCTCCCTGGAAACTATCATGGTTAATTCGTGATGAATTCATCATGATGGGCTAACTGGCCTGTTTTCATTCTCATCTATCACCCTTCACTGGTGCTCCGCCAGCGTATCCCGTTAGCGCAAGCGGGGTTACCATACCATTTACACTCATAAAAAAAAAATATATTTATACTATAAATATAAATTTAAAAGATGTTATTACATTTTTTAATATCTTACTTCAAAACAATAAAGATTCGTCCGAAATATTTATTAATTCTGAACCGATTTTGATAATTCTTTATACAGTCAATGAATTTTATATATACGTTATACAAAGCTATTTTGATTCCAGTATTTTCAAGCAGCTTTTAAAAGAAAAAGGTCATCAGTTCGTTTGTGTTTGTTTTTGTTGAAAATTTATTGAAAACTATGATCCAAGGGTGAATTTTGCATGACTATTGGTTTTAAACTAATGCAAAACGTAATACCCCATTTAATTAGAGCGCAGTTGGTGGCAAAACCGTTGCAGCCCTCACGTAATATATACGTCTTTTTTATCCCTCTCCATTTGGGGTGGCGGCATTTTTTTTTTATTCACAGGGCCGTTTTAGGTTCGTATTAATGAACAGGTCTGTTCGCGTCGTGTTTTTTTTTTTTTTTACTTTGCACACTGCACTGCGTTTGATCACTATTTTTAATGTGCATGGTGCTATGGGTTTTAGTTGTTCAATCCATTTCGAGTTGCAGAAGGCCGTTTGTGTATTTGTTTCCCCGTAGACGGTAATGTAATTTATGTAAAAAATATATACATTTCACACACAATTTAAAGAGAAAGTAATACATGCCTACGACCCGTGAGACCTGAGCATATTTATCCTTGACGAAGCAGTTAGTAAGAGTTGTTAATATATAGCAATACATATATGTTGTAGTTACAATATCTATACATATTTACCAGAGGGAGACTTTGTACAAAAGTCGATTGCTCGGGTACCTCTGTCCCATTCATGTTTCTACTGTGAAGCAATTGTGTTTGCATGGCTGTGTTTCAGTTTGAATGGTGGGATATGGCGTGAATTTACAGGGTACAGAGGAGTAACACCTGAGTCCTCAGGAATGACAACGCATGGGGGGTATCATGTGCGAAACAGTATACTCTGTTATGTCCATGGCACTGCTCATGTGTATAGGCGACGGCTACCACTTTCCATCAGGTGGGCCGTCAGCTTGTTTGCCATTCTAAGTCGTATAAAAAAAAATATTGACCTAATAACACATATATTACTAGTACCGCATTCGAGTATTCTGACACTTCCCTACGGTTGACTGGGAGAGAATGCTTTTAGCGTTAAGTCCGCCATGTACATATATATGTACTAATGAATAAATAAATAAATATTAGATTAGATATCAGTTATTCAATATAAAAGAAAAGAATAACCCCCCCGTAATTAATATACGAGTAGATGAAACGCATTGAAGGAAGCCGGTGTATGCAGGTGGCTCAGGACCGTTCTTTATGGTAGACTATGGGGGAGGCTTATGTCCAGCAGTGGACAGTGGACAAATGAATATAGATATCCGACTGGTATGTACAATATGGTAAAGGGTGGTCATCAACGTCTAGAAGAACTCAATATTTTTTTTATACAACTTAGAATTATGTGCATGGTACTGGTCATGTCTATAGGCGACGTGTTACTCCTCTGTACCCTGTAAATTCACGCCATATCCCACCCTTCAAACCGAAACACAGCCATGCAAACACAACTGCTTCACGGTTGAAACACGAATGGGACAGAGGTATTAAAGCAATCGACATACATACATACATACATATCTGTCACGCCTGTCTCCCATTAGGGTAGGCAGAAACAATGGAACGCCAAATGCTTCGATTCAAACAAACCTCTTTCGCTTCTTCCACATTCATCAATCTTGTCATACACGCTCGTCGGTTACGGGTACTTTTAATTTGGCCCTTCTTCAGCACGTCGCCTATTTGGTCGACATACGTCCGTCTAGGGCGGCCCCTACCGACATCTCCATTCATTCTTGCTCGATAAATCTCTTTCGTAATTCTTCTTTCATCCATCCTCTCCAAATGACCAAACCAACGCAACATTCCTTTTTCGATTTTGGTCACTACAAAGCAATCGACTTTTGTACAAAGTCTCCCTCTGGTATCAATATATAGGTAGGTATCGGATATTGCCCATGTCTAATAGTTGAATGCTTTCTGTTTTACTATTGAACTACATGTTACTTATATTAGCACTATGAAAGGTTTTACATGTGACAATGAATTTATTTATATCTTCACTACTTTTCTGTAGGTACGGGATAATGGAATCTCGAAGCCGATTTTGAAAAAATAAAACAGGGGGCCTACCATGAAATGAAATTCCGAATTTTCGGGCTCAATTTCGTGTTTTTGTTCGTACCCTAAATCGACCCAGTAAATAGAGCTTAACGTTTCGTTCATCATAGTCCTATCCTAATAGTCCAGAAGAACAATATTTTAATATTTTTAAAAATTTTAAACGGCATGTATTATGTAATTTTAACATCAAATTTCTATTTCGTTCGTCCCCGAAATTTCGGAAAATATTTCATGGTAGGCCCTCAGTTTTTTTAAGTTACTAAAGTTAATTATATATTTAAAAAAATATTATTTATTAATAATTAATTTTGACTCATTAATTTGTTTTTATATATATATATTTCCTTTATTTACAGATAGAGTCAATCCGTGGATGACTGCAATGCGTCTAACAGAATCATGGTAAGGAATTATTATTTAGGTATACTAGCTTCTATATTATTATTTGCTAACTGTATTCCGCGGCTTTGTCTGCGTATAAATCAGTATCTTTTAATGTAAATTATATGTTTACTAATTATTATGTCTTCCACGTGTCGAAATTGAAATGTTATGTCTAAATGTCAATCATGTTGTGTACACATGTTTTTGAATTGTAACCTAGCATTAAAACCAGGTAATTAACCTATATATAAACTTAACATGGTTATAATTTGTTATGTGTGCCTTATTAAAAATAAAAATAAATAAATAAATATAAAATATTCTATGTGCTATATTAGGATATATCCTACACGTGTACCAAATGTAATTACTATATGTTTTACCTTATATATATATATATATATATATATATATATATATATATATATATATATATATATATATATATATTTTACACACACACATATATACACACTTTGTATTAGAGGCAATCGAAATGTTCCGGTCATAAGAAGTAAAAAAAAAAAAACTATCATATAAGAGGTATTTCTAATAATCCAGTAGGAATAAAGATTTTTTTATTTTTAATTTGAATAATTGCGGCATTTGGCTACCGGTAGTGCAAGAATGTGTTACGCAAGCGGTCAGTGTTTCCGAGCGAGAACGCCCACTGTTTTTATTTCTGTTACATTCAACTACATCCGTACGTAGTGCATACATCACGGCTTTATCCTATTGAGGTAGGCAGGGATAACAGAACTCCAAATTCTAACATGCAAAGTCCACAACCGTTTTCTTTTTCTAAATTTACGAATATCTTAGTAGATTTTTTTTTAAATCATCACTTGACATTATTGTCTATGAATTCCTTCTTTATGGCCGTGTGGTCCAAGCATAGAATAGGCCACCCCTTCCTATCCCGTGGGTGTTATAATAGGAGATTATGGGAGCTCGAGGGATGGGTTTTAGCGTCCTTTTTAAAACATCCCTAAAGCCTAACTGTGGTTGCCAATCCGCCTGCCTAGCATGGTAACTGCTGGCAAAACCCCTATATTCAGCAGTGGACAGTTAAGGGCTGATATGATGGTGATGATGATGGCGCTGTTCATATTAATAGGTGATGATTTTCAAGTGCCAGTATTATAAAAAAACACAAACGCAAATCTATCTTTCTTACTATCTTACTAATAGACTAGAACTGTATCTAGACATTTTTTTTTATATACCACTGAGGTGGCCAACAAGCATACAGCCCACCTGATGGTAAGCGGTTAACGTAGCCTATGAACACCTGCAATACCAGAGGTATTACGCGCGCGTTGCCGACCCTGAAGAAACCTCTTTACCTCCCTTTTGAAGAACCCCATGCTGTAGTCTCTTGGGAAAACCTCGGCAGGGAGCTCATTCCACAACCTGAGTGTTCGTGGAAGGAAACATCTCTGAAACCGCGCAGTACGCGACCATTGAGGCTGTAGGACATGAGGATGAACTCCCTGCCGATGGCGAGCCGTGCGATGGTAGAAAGTGGCTGTAGGCATCATATCATCAACTAGAGGATGTCTATACATGTGGAACATGTAGGAAAAATTCATATAAGGGCAAGACCCTTATCAAGGATAAGAGTTACTTATTAGAGCAAAGATTCATCCCAACCATCTGGACGAGTGGCGGTCCTCCACCGTGCGTTTTTCAAGGCACTTTCTTCCACGCACAACCATTCTTTGTAATCAACTTCCAGCAGCAGTATTTCCGAACCGATACGACATCGTAACCTTCAAGAAAAGAGCATATTCCTTTTTAAAAAGGCTAGCAGCACACCTGCAATGCCGCTGGTGTTGTGGGTGATCATGGGCGGCGGTAGTCACTTACCATCAGGTGAGCCGCATGCTCGTTCGCCCCCTGCGTTGTAAAAAAAATCAAGAATTTTTAGTAATTCATAAGTCTGAATATTTGTACCGGTATCACGCAAATGTTACTACACCGAATTAAATGCGGTTTTCATAGTTGCGTTTCCGAAGGTGTAATTAAAAAAATTAATAGGTATGTTTTACAAGTTTTTATCTAATAACCGTGTTTATACTAAAATATTTTACTTTACTTTTTATACATTTTCCACACGTTTTAATTTTTTTTTTTTTTATATTATATTTTACATGTTGTCCGAGTATGCTGTAAAAAAATTGTACCTCTATGAGGTAAGTACCTGACAATAAAGAATATTATGATATTTACGCTATTTAAAAGTAGTTGGAAAACGGACGTAATAGATCCATTTTACGTAACCTATTAAAATAAAACATACACCAGATTGTATGTTAAAAATTAAGGAATACAACTGTAATAGCCGCATCCAATTTGATTTAGTAGTTTTTGCTTGATACCGTAACAAACGTACAGACCAACAGACAAATTATCTGAAAATGATCATTTAGGATTCAGTTGGTTTTATCAATTTTAATTAAGATAGATAGATAGATAGACAATTTATTTACATTACTTACAGCACACAAATTTCAATAAAAAAAAACATACACGTAATACATAGCAAAAGAGACAAAAGAATAAAAATAAAAAAAACACAAATAAAAAAAAAACAAAAACAAAAAACATAATATAACAATCTCCTTTGTTACCATTCCTTCATGCGTGTGCCATAGTAACACAAAATGGTCACAGCTCAGTTTATTGCTTTGCCCTTAAAAGAGCAAAACACTGGTATTCTGCTGTGGCCAAGAGTCAGTCGCGAAACTTTTCATTAAAAATTTACAATTACTTACAAATAATTAAATATTCACCATGCACAGACATCGGCTGGTTACAATTTTATTTTATGTATTAGTAATAGAATTATTATTGTAGTGTAATTTAATTTTATTATAATTTTACCAGAGGGAGATTTTGTACAATAGTCGCTTGGTTGGGTACCACTGTTTCGTGTTTCTACCGTGAAGCAATTGCAAGCAAAGCACCTGAGTCCTCAGGAATGGCAACGCATGGGGTGTATCTTGAGCGAAACAGTATACTCTGTTATGTCCATGGTATTGCTCATGTCTATAGGCGACGGTTACCACTTTCCATCAGGTGGGCCGTCAGCTAGTTTGCCATTCTAAGTTGTATAAAAAAAAAGTAAGACTGAAGCAATTTTTTGCGGAGCAAATTGTATTAGTTCGGTGGTAATATTTCCACGTTTAGTAACGATAGAAGGTTTAGGAAGCGCGCGCAGAGTGCCGGCGGGGGTAACGACCTACCTTTCGACGAGGCTAGGTCACCAGTGATTATAATATTACACCGTACGCCGCTAATTGTGACATTTTTATTTTATTAATAATAAACACGTGCACGTACCTAATTTAATGTGTGGGGGGGGGGGGAAGGGATTGTTAGTAATGGAGACTGAGAATCCTATTACTAGCAATATACCCAGCCAGGTCGACCTCCTCGCGGTTCCCCCTGGAAACTATCGTGGTTAATTCCTGATGAATTCATCATGATAGGCTAACTGACCTGTTTTCATCCTCATCTATCACCCTTTACTGGTGCTCCGCCAGCGTATCCCGTTAGCGCAGGCGGGGTTACCATACCATTTTCACCCATAAAAAAATATAATGTGTGGTTTGAACAATAGTTCCCACCCGACTGAGGAAGAGAAAAAAAATGTCCGGATTCGTCTGAAGTTTTATTTCTTTTTTTCTTTTTTCATGTCTGTGATACGATTCTCTCTATCCTTTACTAAAACAATATATCTTATAATGGTAAACAAACTGACGGCCCACCTGATGGAAAGTGGTAACCGTCGCCCATAGACATGAGCAGTACCATGCACATAACAGAGTATACTGTTTCGCCCATGATACCCCTCATGCGTTGCCATTCCTGAGGACTCAGGTGTTATGCTTCTGTACCCTGTCATATCACTCTCTTCAAACTTTGCTACTTTGAAAACATACAAAATTTTTAAATTTGGAACTTGTCTTTTTTTTTAACTGCAATACAGAAATATTTCATTATGCCATCCTCTATGCATGTATAAATAGCTCGTGGAGTCAGTATGCACTCAACATGTATGTACATTCACGTACTTGATACCTACATAATTAGTTTATGTTCATTGTAAATATATATATATAATTAATTATCTAATTAAACTGACCCAGTTAGATTTGTCGATTTATACGCATGTTTTATTTTATTTTTTTTTAATAATAACAACAAGCAAGATATAATTTATCGTATCAGGGATGCGGCACTTAGTTCGTATGATTATTATTATCTATTAAATGGTAGTAAAATTTATCTAAACGCGATTTCCATATGTGTATTCGAATAGTTTTTTTGTTGGATACCTACACTTATATAATTACAACTTTATTTCACAAAAGAGAACCGAGTTCCATAATGATAAAATGAATATAGAACTAACAGGGGCGCAAACTATGTATTTAGTTTGAAAAAGAATCATTAATATTACAATATGGACGTTTGACCAACTCCTTCCGTTAGACCGCATTCAAAGTCGGGCAGCTCGAATTGTTGACGATCAGGCGTCTTACTGTCCGACTCGATCCACTGAAACTGCGTAGAGATGTTGCATCTCTGTGCATCTTCTATCGAATTTATCATGGGGAGTGCTCTGTAGAATTGTTCGGATTGATACCTGCTGCTGATTTTCACCATCGTACAACCCGCCATAAACTAAAATTTCATTCCAACCATCTGGACGAGTAGCGGTCCTCCACCATGCGTTTTTCAAGACACTTTCTCCCACGCACAACTACTGTTTGGAATCAACTTCCAGCATCAGTATTTCCGAACCGATACAACATAACCTTCAAGAAAAGAGCATATTCCTTTTGAAAAGGCCGGCAGCACACCTGCAATGCCGTTGGTGTTGTGGGTGATCATGGGCGGCGGTAGTCACTTACCATCAGGTGAGCCGCATGCTTGTTTGCCCCCTGTGTTGTAAAAAAAAATTTTGTATAAAAGACGTTTGCCTGTATCCAAATGTGTTTTTTATGGGA